GGCTGTGGGGACCTTGCCCACGTGCCCACTGGACTTCTGTCTGAGTGCCTCCGACATAGAAGCCCCTTTGCTGCCCTTCTTGGTGGTGTGCCCATGTCCTCCATGTCCTTCAGATCAAGACCCCTGCTGCACCCCAGTTCCCACATATCAACACTGAAGGGCAGCTGGGAGGGGCGATCAGCCACGCTGTTTGGATCTGCTCGAGCCCTCGGGACCTTGGCCGTGGGTCTGCGGCTCTCTCTTCGGTTATAATGAGCTTGTAATTATCGTAACCTTTAATCTGGGCTGCATTGGCAATGTGTTTTTCACTCCAGGAACTTTCTCGTGTTTTATCTCATTTGATCTTAAAAATAAGTCTGGGATCAAGGTGGGGCAGGCGCCTGTTATCTCCAGCCTGTTTGTTTGTCCCCCCACACACCCCCCCCCAGCCCTGCGACTCTGTCTGTTCACATGTGTGTGCCCTGGTGAGAGTGTGTGTGTGTGTGTGTGTGTGTGTGTGTGTGTGTGTGCGTCCTGGGATGTGCATGCTCCTTGTACCAGGAACACATAAGTGGCGTGTCAGCACATTGTCTGCTCAGGCCGTGATCCTAGACGTGGATATATGCGTGATAGCACACGGTCGCGAGCACATGTGTGGCTGCGGCAGCACATGGGTCCAGTGGGTGCAGGCGTGTGTGCAGCTCCGTGTGTGGCGTCGCTGTGTGTTGTGTGTGATGGGGGGGGGGGTGAAGCCCGTGCGTGCCCGTGCGTGTGGCGCCCGGGCACACATGCCATGTGGCTGAGATCAGAGAGGTGGGAAGCTGCGGACCCACGGTGGCTGCGGTTGCTGGGAGGCGAGGCTTCAGCTCTGTGCTGGAGATTGATTTTGCCCGGGGAAGCCGCTCTAATTCCTGTGACTCACTCGTTAGAGGAGTTCAAAGCAGCTAGGTGGTGGGGAGGGTTGGGGCGGAGGGGGGGATGTCTTGGGGTGCAGCTTTCAGAGTGATTGGCTCATTCCACTCTGATTATTAATTTATTCTTCGAGCCAATCTTTTCACTCCGAGCTCTTAACCTTCTGCGTGCCACTGAGTCTTCATCAGACTGAGGCTGGAAATATAAACCGAGCATGCCGGCTGCTGCCAAAAACCTCATGAGCCCCAGGCCCCTTGTTGGTGCTGCAGTCGCGGCCTGGCTCGTGTGTTGCTGACCCAAGGGGCGAGGCCAGTGGGGTATCCATGCCGTGATGAGATCAGGTGGCCGGCTTGGGCACAGACTCACGGGGGAACTGTGGCTTGTGGCCTACAACGTTCCTGCCTCAGGTCGATGCCAACTTCCACTTCTGAATGAAAGAAGATTGAAAATAATATAAAGAAAGGGTCTGTGGGGCTGGAGAGGTAGCACAGGGGTTAAGGTGCTGTTCTTGCATGCAACGGACCTGGGTTCCATCTCCCGCACTGCATATGGTCTCCTGAACCCTGCCAGGAGTGACCCCTAAGCACCAGCAGGTGTGGCTTCTCCAAATGAAGGAATTTCCCCATTCCGGCAATGTAGCCTTCCTGCTGTAGCTGGGACTTCCACATGAAGCTGGATGTGCATTCAGGAAGCCCTGGGCTCCCCCTTCCCTCCCCCAAACCCCATGCGCGCAGAACACCCATGAGACTTTGCAGTAAATGCAGCTCATTCAGGCCTCTCCTGGTCAGCTGCAGGTGCCACAGGGGTTTGGTGCTGCTGGTGGCTGCCTCCAGCGGGAAGGGTCTCTGAGGTGCGGGATCCTGTGTGTGATCTTCCACTGAGAAGTGGGCTTTCCCTTTTTGGGGCTCAGAGCACGCCCCCGCCCTCGAGCAGGGGTACTTCTCTTCTTGTGCCAGCTTGCTCTGGTTGCCTAGGTCAAATGGGGGATGCGAGTGCCCCCCACTCCTGGGTGAGTGCTGTGCCCTGACTGTTCTGTTTCTGGTTAGTTCACGGAGCCTCTGGGGAGTGTCCCAACCCGGGGGGTGGAGCGGCATTCTGGGGGTCTTTAGAGGCTGAGAAGCTGTGGGGAGTGAAAGTAACTGCCTGGGACCCCGGGGTCTGGTGTTTACCCAGAAATGGTGCTAATCCTGCTAATTCTTATGCTTTGCAACACCTCTCTGTTGTCTGTGCCCATCTGCGGGGGGTGGGGGATGGCATGGCCAGGGCACCCTCCCCGCTTACTGCCCCCAGCCCTGGGCAGCTTTCCACAGGTGTTCTGGGTCTCCAGGGCCTGCCGTGGGCTCCTTTCTCCCCAGGCTGAGGTGGTGGGCAGGAACAGAAGTGCCCCATTCCCATGCCCTCCTCGCCTAGTCCTGGGGAGGCTGTAGCCCAGGCTGAGAGTGGGTATTCAGGCCAGATGACCCAGCCCCGGTCCTGCCCGATCTCCCCCTGAGGTTGGCAGACTTCTGCAGCTCACACCCTTCTCTGAGAATCGGGAGGCTGAGGTGGGGAGAGGACCTGAGCCCCATGTTTAATCCCCAGCCCAGCCCAGCTCCCTGAGCACTGCCAGGTGTGGCCCTGTGGGTTCTGAGGGGGGCTCCCCAGACGGGGAAGGTGATTCTCTGATGCCATCTGATGCCACAGCAGAGCGGGATGCAGGTATAAGGAGGGCGGCAGCTGCGGTGTCCCAGGCGGACCCACACCTTCTCTCTCCCTGCCAGTCTCATGATCATCTCAGGTCCTCTTTGATGCTCTTTGTTTCTTGGCACCCCGATCCTGAAGTCTGAGGGCCTGCAGGACCTGCCTCAGTTTCCCCATTGTATTCCCAGACACTTCCCAAGACCCCACCTGCTCCTTGCCCAGGCAGCAGCTGACATCACGTACTTGTGCCTACTCCTTTGGGCACCTTAATTTCTCTCCTGGTTTCTGGCCTGCCAAGCCCCCAGATGCCAGCCTGGTTCCCTGTGCCCACCTTCTGCCACCACTCAGGGGCTATGCCCGGGAGGAGAGCACCCTTCTACATCACAGAGCTGACTTCCAGCCTCCAAGGTCCCCGTTTTCCATGGCCTGAGTGGTTGGTTGCCTTGAGCCAGCTTTTTCAGGGGTGCTCCTGCCTCGGAAGGAATGTGGACTTCAATAGGGGACTTGATGGCTGAGGGACCCAGAAGGGGGCATGGCTGTGACCCCTCAGGAAAGGGGCTTCCTGGAAGAGGCGATGTCTGAGTGTCCTCTTGAAGGAAGTGCAGGAATTGTCCGTCGCAGAAGGATGGAAGGGCTGAGTTTCTGCTGTCAGGGCTGGCCGGAAGCTTGAGTCAGGCAGAGGCCTGGTGGTGATGTGTATATGTGTGTGTGGGGGGGGAGCATAGGTGTGGGGGCCCCAGGCTGGGTATAGAGGGGCAGTGGGGAGGGCAGGTTCAGGGAGATACAGGAAGATTCGACCTAGAGGCCAGAGGGTGCAGCCAGGCTTGCTCATAGGAGGGAAGAGGGGGAGACAGGGGTGTGGAGAAGGCGCCTGTATGTCAGGTAAGAGCAATACAGGCTGCCTGGCCCGTGGAAAAGGCGCTTTGGGGGTGAAGAGATGGTCAGCACAGCCGCTCAGATGTCAGTGAGCAAGGGCGAGGAGGAGGGTCACAGGGGTGCTGATTGCGTAGTTTTCCAGCAGAAGGGATGTGTGGGGGGCAGTGTAGGAGAATCCCGCAGAGCAGATTATACAAACAGGCTTATCAGCTCAGGCAGTGATCCTGAATCTCCAGACTGGGGGAAAAAACCCAACAAACTCATAACGCACCCAAATCCGCAGGACGCCTGCTTTCCCCAGTTGCCTTGGATGTTGGGAATGGGGAGTTTGGAAGAGAGTAGACACCAGACAGGCTGGTATGTGCTGGCACCGCCAAGAGCTGCAGGACTTAGCAAGCCGTGCCATCTCTCTCTGTGCTCTGGTCTCCTCTCCTTTCTGCTGAGAGCCAAGGGAAGTGGTGCGGGTTCAAAATGATGGAACTGCGGGGCCTGCCAGCATCTGTTTGAGCCTCAGAGCCCCAGGGGAAATGGAGCTGATCACTGACTTTGGTTTCCACCACACCACCAGACCGAAATGTTCCTTCTCATGCCATTTGGGTCCTTGACTCTGCAGTTGTTACTCCAATTTCCGCTGCTTTGATAGCAAGACTTGGTAACTGAATGTCCCCAGCTCCATCCTCTCTCTCTCTCTCTCTCTCTCTCTCTCTCTCTCTCTCTCTCTCTCTCTCCCCCCCCCCCTCCCCTCTCTTCCTGCTCGTTCCCAGACCCAGCCTGGGTCTTCCAGATCCCCCTGGGGCTGCCCCTTCCTCTGTTCAGCTCCCAGGCTGAGAACCCTGCTGGGGACCCCCACCTTCCCCACTAAAATTAGTTCCCTGAGTGTGTGTTGGAGTGAATGATGAACATGCATGGAATGAATGAATGAATGAATGAATGAACTCACCCATGAAACAGTGATTCTGGTGAGCATGGAGGAGATGAGAAAAGGTGGGTTTGCCTTGGAGAGGGCCGAACAGTGGCCATCACTCTCTCGGTTTCTACCCTCCTGTCTTTCTGGGGTTGTGTCTCAGGATGGTGGGAACCTGCAGATTTTTTAAAATCAGGGTTGACAGATGATGAGAAAGTCCTGACACTTGTCCAGGAGGTCCTTCCCCAGACCAGATTTTCTTTTTTTTTTTTTGCTTTCTGAGTCACACCTTGCGATGCACAGCGGTTACTCCTGGCTCATTCACTCAGTAATTACTCCTGACCGTGTTCGGGGGACAATGTGGGATGCTGGGAATCGAACCCAGGTCAGCTGTATGCAAGGCAAACGCTGTGCTTCCGCTCCAGCCCCCAGACCAGATAATTCTAAATTCTCACCGGGAGTTCAAGCCTCTTTCCCAACTGGAAGAGAATGGAGCACACTGCCATCAAGACGCAAGAGGGGGCTGGTGGGGGGAGGGGAAGGAAGGAGGGTTCAAATCTGGCTTGTGGGTGTATGTGGGGGGGCGCATACTCTCTTGGGTCTGGGTCTGGGAGCCACGTGCCTCATGGTCTTTGTCTTTCCTCCCCAGGGTCGTCCCTCAGGACTATGCGAGGCTAGAATGGAGATGTCCGCCCCAGCCCCCGCCACGGAGAAGAAAGAAGCCAAGGGCGGGATCCTGGAGGCTGCCGCCTTCCCCGACCCGGGCAGGAAGGCCTCGGCCCTCGCGGTAGCCACGGCAGCAGCGGCAGCAGCAGCCGTGGCGGCCCAAGGAGGTACTTTGTGTTTTGCACACTTGGCGGGCAGCAGGGGGGTGTTTTTCATTAGCCCATTAGGATTTAATGAGACTGCTGGCCCATGTCATCGGGCAGGCATGCGGCGTTTATGGGAGCGAAAGGAGGGCGCCCCCGCCCCCAGGGATCCCGACCGACCAGCGGACCGGACGCCTGCTGGTTTTCTAGGAGGTCTGCGCGCCCCCCACCCCCACCCCCAGCTCAGCTCAGCAGGCTGGGACTGTGTCAGGCCAGGGAGCGGGCAGGGGCAAGAGCCCCCAGGGTGCGTTCTGTTGGCCCGTTCGCTGGGTGCCACAGACGGGGCTCTGGCCTCTCGCCTGCCTGCCAAAGACTATTTTAGAAAGTAATTGTCTCCCGATCCCTCCTGCCTGTAATTAGAGGGTCAGGTAGGGAATGGAGTATCCTTAGGTGAATTTCTGGCCAACCTAATTACAGCAGACGGACTCCAGGAGCCACAGCCTCTCATTTCACAGCCCCGAAGAGCAAGCGTCTAGGGTTTCCACGGGCCCGTGCCAGCGCCCCGTTGGGAAAGTTTGGCGGGAAGGCGAGACCTCCCCGTGCGTCTCTGCAGCCCATCTGGAGGCCACAAAACTATTTCTGTCTCCGAGGAAAGGAGAGGCAGAGATTTCTTTTCTTTCCCTTCTCATTCAAGAGCATTTAGTCATGCCCTGCTGCTCACTGTGGAAGCTCCGCTCAGGGGAACCGTGGGGTGGGGGGTGGGGGGGCGTCTGTCCTCACGGAGGAGCCACGTCACAGGTGGCTTGTCAGCATACACACCCTCCCTGCGGTGGCTCAGCAGCGCTCAGGCTGAGCTGTGTGTGTGTGTGTGTGTGTGTGTGTGTCCATGCACTGGCCAGGCTAGGGGCAGCAAGTGGGGCCAGTGGGGGCACACTCGGGACTGGGGAGTCAACGAGCCATGTCGAAGCAGGAGGGTCCAGATAGACTCTAACTCTGTCCCCCACCTGCGGGCCAGGAGATCGGGGTGCCGGTCTGGGCTTGGAAACCACAGCCTTGAGCCACCAGAGCTTTTTCAAGGGTTGACCAGAGCCATGTGCCCTGTGGCCCGGCAGCTGAGAGCCACTGCGGGTGTGATTGTTCCTGTCGTTTTCTCTGTGTCCCCCCCACCTCCGCCGCCCCCCAACCCACTGCCTTGATTCTCAGCTGAAGGTCACTGAGGACGGGGTATCCAGGCCAAACTCGGTGCTTGGTGCTTGGGTGGTGGTTTCAGCTCCCTGGAGTTGGGTGATCCCTCTTGGATGTGTGGACGGGCCATAAGGCAGTGGAGGAAGAGCTCGCACCTGGTTTGGAGGGGGCGGGGGGTGGGGGGTGGGGTCACCAAGGCTTCATGGAAGCCCCCAGGTAGGGAGCCTGGAGGTGAGGATCACGTGAGCGTCCAGCTGGGTCCAGGCAGCCTGGGCTGGGCTCAGTGGCCCTAGGCTTGCCTGGGCCTTTCTTGGGGTCAGGACTGGTCCTTCTGGAGAAAACCTGTCTTTAGCTCCGGTCCTGGACCCTGGAGCCAGGAAAGGGTCCCCACACCGGTCCTCTGCATGATCGAGTGGCTATAATGGGGCAGTAGTTAGGACATTGGTCATTTGGGCAGTGCTGGGCCCACTGCAGCATGGAGCATGGCAGTGGGAGGGGCCCACTGGTCCACGCCCACCTGTACCCCAGGAGGCTGTTCACACCCCTTCTGCAGCCCCCCTACCCCATCCTCATGTTGCCCAGCCTCCAGGAAGAGGCCGCAGTGGATTCACCCTGTCGCCGCAGTTATGCGAGGGCAGGTTCCGCCAGGCCCGGGGCTGCTGTCAGCCTCTGCCCTGTCCTGTTGTCCCCGATGCCCAGCAGCTTCCTACCAGGACTCCCTTGGAATGTGTGTTCTGCTGGGGAGAGCAGGGACCCTGCTGGGGCCCCTCCCAGTGCAAAGACCTGGCCTGGGCTTCTGCTCTGTGTCCTAGACCATCCTGCAGATGCTTCAGCTCCTCAGGGAAGTTCCCTCCATCCCGCTGAGGGCAGCAAAGGCCCAGCGAGCCAGTGAGCAAGATGCCTCCCTTACTCCACATTCTGGAGTTTCAGAACTTTCTGAAGAACCTGGGAGGAGGTGTGCCTGCCCTCCCCCCAGGTTAGAGGAAGGCCCAGAAGGAGGTGCCTGGAGGCAGGAGGTGGATCTTGCGACTCACTGACCCCAAAGGGATGGGGGTGCTCTTGAGCTCAGTTCTGGATTCTTGGGGGTGCAAACTGGGCCTGCCAGAGGGTGTCCCGTGGCCCAGAGTGATGTTGGCCCTCAACTTCAGGAGGAGCTGGGCTGGGGAGAGGGTCTGGGGGCAGCCCCCAGGAGAGGGGCATGCAGAGGGCCTTGTTGGTTTGCAATAGCGCCCCCTGCAGTCACTGTCGGGAATCTGGGCCTCCAGATGTATAAGAGGGCTGGTGTGACGGGGCTCTTGCCCTGCTCCTGGGCTGAAGTGCACCAGCCTCTTACCGGAATTGCCCAGCCCTGGCCCTGGCCACAGACAGCTGCTCGGGGGCCTGTGCATGCACCCAGGTGTGACTAAGTGGGCAATCATTCTTATTTAAGTGATTTGCAGGATGGCTATGGATGGCTGCCCGCTCTAGGAGGCTGGAGGAAGTTTTTTTTGGTGGTGGTGGGGGGGAATCCCCACCCCTGAGTTGTTTCTGGAAAAGACCATAACCATTATGTGTGGAAGGACATGCCTAGGGTCTCCATGCTGGGGCTGGTGTTGGGGGAGTGGGATGTCCCCGTACAGGTGACTGCTCAGACCCCTGACATCCCCATTCCCCGTGAGCCCTTTGCAACCCGCAAGCTTGTCCTGTGTCCACCGCGCCATCCCTAGCACTCTCAGGAGGTGAGTCATGTCTGAGGGTGACCAAAGGACTCAGTCCCACAACTGCCAGGGCTGGGACCACCTGTCTGTATCCAGACTATGGGGCATCCTGGTTTTCCAGGTCAGTTTGTCTCTCCTCATCCCACCCTCCTACCCCCCCAACATTGCTGCCAATTTCATGTACTTCCTGATTCAAATTGTGTGATCTGAGGGAAGCTTTTATTTCCATAAACCGTGAACAGCTGGAAACAGCAGAGCCTTTGGGGGCAGGCCTGGACTCATGAAACTGGGGCCCATCCCGTGAGTAGATGTTGCATAGTCACTGGAAATGCCTGCTAAAGCTTTGTTCTTGGGGGAAGGAGTGCTTATGTTTCGCTATTGTGTGAGTGAGAGGCAGGATGCAGAGATCTCTGGGGGTCCCTAGTGCACAGAGAGAGTGAAAGTGTTCAGAAAGAGAGAGTGACAGCGTTCGATGGGCGGTGAGCAGGATGCTGGGGCACTGGGTGATGTATACTGTGCAGGGAAACTCCTATCTTGACTGCTTGGGTCTTCTCGGATCCTGTTAAAGTACAAACGCTCCTGAGATGCCAGGGAGTGCTGGAGCCAGCTTGTGCCAGGCCGTGTCTGCCGGGTGTATCTCTCAGCTACCTCGCCCTGTGGGCTTGTGGCATGCCAGCCATGGAGGGGGTCTTTTCACCCTGGAATTGACCAGCACCACAGTTCAGCCGGTCTCCACCCGCCAGCAGGAGCGTATGGTGCCAGTGGTTTGTTTGACTGACCCGCTCCCCCTGCTCCCTTCCTCAAGGGAATGACAGAAGGAGGGAGGCATTGTCCTGGCTGAGGAGGTAGGATGCAAAGGCAGGAGGAGCCCCCAGGATTGAGGCTGGAGGGGCACATGGCATCCATTGGCTCTTTCCTGGATTGCGGGAGCCTGTCCATTATGCTGACCACATTAGATGTTTCCACCTCATTACCCCAGAGAAATGTTTAGGTGACCTCGGATCTATCAGTATATAAATTAGGAATACATATCAAACATTTACGGATAATACATTATTATTATAGAGGTTTTTTTTTTGCTTTTTGGTCACACCCAGTGATGCACAGGGGTTACTCCTGGCTCATGCATGCAGGAATCACTCCTGGCAGTGCTCGGGGGACCATATGGGATGCTGGGAATCGAACTCAGGTTGCAAGGCTTTACCTGCTGTGTTATCACTCGAGCCCCTGGAGATTTATTTTAAAACAATAATTGGGGGGTGGGGATGGGGATTTGGGGCCATGCTTGGTGGTGCTCAGGTCTTACTTCTGGCTTGGTGCTCAGGGATCACTCCTGTCAGGGTTTGGGGTGTTGGGGTTGAAGCAGATCGTCTGTGTGCGAGACAAACTCCTTACTCCTTTCCTATGTCTCCGGTCCTCTTTCACAGCCTCTTTAGCTGTTGTGCTAATGCTTGGGAGTCCGTAAATCTTTCAGGACATGCGCTGGCCCAGGATTGGGTCATTCTTCACACCCCACCCCCCACTTAATTATTAACACGGCATGATTTCAAAGGCCGTTTGATTTAGATGTTTCTCATTGCTTTACACGGAAACTGCCCCTGACTGTGGTATTTTTCTCCATTAGCAGCGGGGTTTCTTTCCAAAAATATTTCTGAACATCTCTGTGCTCCTCAGCCGAGTGCCAGGATCCTACCGCTCCAAGCCTCTGGGCTGGGATGCTTGGAAAGGCCGGAGCTGTGAAATTTGGAGTTGGCGAATCCCAGAAGCTGGGCAGCCAGACAGCCCTTCGTCATCTGTGATGTGCCAGCGACGGCCAACACCCATCTCTGAACTCATGCCTGCTCTCTGCTAGCCAGGCTCTCCCCGTGTGGTCCTCCTTCCCCATGGCCACATCTGTATGTCTCCCTGGGAATGCTGAAAATGGGAATTCTTCAGTCAGTGGATAGCTCAGCAGATTGGAGTGCATGCTTTGAGTACCGGTTCAGTCCCTGGGACTGCTGCTGGGTCCCTCTGAGCATTGCTAAGAGCAACCCCCAACCTGCAAACCAGGAGGTGTACCTTTAGTACCTACCAAATATGACCCCAAAACCAAAATATGTGAATTTTGGGGCTGTACCCCAGAAGCAGACCTTTGGGGAGGAA